TTAGTTTAACATTAATCCTGATTTGTACTAAAGCTACTGACACTCAATGTTAATATTATTTTCCCTAAACTATTATCCCTAATGGTCATGCAAGGCAAAAAGAGATAAAAAGAATAAAGAGCTTGAGTTTTTTAATTTAATAATTGATTGAAAGAGAAAAATTAAGTTTGGTCTACTTAATTCTTTATTCTATTTTACCCTATAATTTCATTAACTACATGTGGTATGGTTGCCTACAATATAATCAATTATGATATGTTAAGAGTAATCAATTTCAACATATAAATATAAATGCAGTAGAGTAAAATCAATATAAAAAGGAAATGATAATTGTCATTAAACATAAAAACTACATAAACTATATAAAGGATGCACCATAACCCTAATTATGAATTTAGCTACCTATAATGAAATAAGAAGGGAAAACATTTGTACAGAAATTCACATTTATTCAAAAATTAATGCAAATTAAAAGAATCTCAATGGTAAGAGATAAGAAGAGTTTTTGTCTCCAAAAAAGGCTCCCGATCACTTGCTCAAACCCCAGAAATGTATCCTTCATTTTTATTAATGATCTCCACTTCAAAAAATATATTTTATCTCTAACAAATATATGACTTATCAATACAAAAAGATAAGATTTTTTATTGTCAAATTTAAAGTTCATTCCCTCTCGAGGGTTCTTTGAAAACCTCTAAATCAGTTACACCATGAGAGAAGTGCAGTCATGCATACCCTCTAGCATGATCACAAAGTACTAAGGTTGATTGTTAAGCAAAGTCACGCTTCTTGTTGTGCGTGACACTGTTTTCTATCAAATTTCTTCTAATCATGACAAAAATGCTTCCATAATTTGTTAGTGATAAATTCATTCTAAACTGCAACAATTAATAAATAAATCAATTATAAAAACACACAAATAAGGGCCAAAGTTATAAAAATATGTTATAAAAACATATAAAAATATAGGCTAATTAAGTTGAACTTCTCATTTTGTGCCATAACTTTTCTATTTACACTTAAGGTATTAAAAATCTCTCTAGAGTACTTAAAAGCTAATAAAAATATGGAAATCACTTTGCTATCACTTAATCCATGGTCATGGTGATTCCTACAACATATCCATAAACTTGGAAAACTTTGAATTTGATCAGCCAACATAATCCATAGTTATGTGGACTCCACAACTTACTAATTGATTTCTATAGACCTTAGTTTTGATTTTATTTCTTCATAGGCTTCCACCATAATAATGGATGACTTCATTGGCACCTAGTGAACTCTTATGTGGGTCCAAGTTTCTATCTTTTAAGCTTTAAGTTACTTTCAAATTCTTTTTTATTTCTTTATCTATACATAAAAACACACAATGAAGTAGTTATTTAAACTAATTAAAGAAAATAAATATTAAATCTAAATAAATTGCATAATTAACAAACATTTAAGTGTTGATTTTTGCTTAAAAATGATGTAAGCTATTATTATATTTCTAGATACCTATTTTACATTTGCAAGTTTATATTTTCTATTTTTCATTAATTAATCATGTTTTGGTCTATATTTGAATATTCTAAAATGTTAATAATGAAATATGTATTTGTATGTTGCTAGAATTTGATAAAAAATAAAATAAAAATCAATCACATAGCTGAAACAATTCTATCAAATTGGATTTATAAACTTCAAATTTATTATGAAGTCAAAGTTTTTATGTAGTTCTAAGTTGCTAAGTCTATATTTTTGGGTGCTTATTTAGCTTAGTTTCGTATGTTTGACCCTTATTTGATGATAAATTTATACTAACTTATTTATTAATTATTGCAGTTTAGCATGAATCAATCACTAGCAAATTACATAAACATTTTGGACGTCACAATTGGAGGAAATTTGATGAAAATCAAGACCAGCTTAGCATGAAGCACAACCTTGCTTAACAACCCATATAGGGGTGCTTCGTGATCATGCACAACAATGCTTGAGGGTATACATGGTCATGCTTCTCTCTTGGTGATTTAAATTAAGAGATTTTCAAAGACTTTGGGAACCCTATTTAAGGAATAATTAAGGCCTAGGAGTGGGCAACTCTTCTTGGCCAACTTTTAACAACTTTTGGATGTGTTTGGGAGTAAAGATCATGGAAATTAGGGCCTGAGCAAGTGACCAAAAGCACATTTTAGCAACAAAAATTCTTTTCATCTATTTTCCTTTGGTATTCCTCTAGTTTGTCTTTCCTTTTTGAATGAATATGATTTTATTTTATTTTTACATTTGTTTTCTTTGCCTATTTCAATATGTGTAGTTAAATTCATAGTTAGAATTATAGTAAATACTTTGCATTCTTTATATGATCTTTTTGTTTAGTGAAAATTTTAGTTTTTTTTAATGATTGGTGTTTGCCCTAGTGTGTATATTTTAATGTTGAGAATTGACTATTCTTAACATCTTATAGTTGATTGCATGATAGATGACTGTACCATATGTAGTTAATGGATTTATAAGGTAAAATGAGATAAGAAATTAAGTAGACCAAACTTAGTTTTTATCTTCAAATTGATTATTAAATTAACAAACTAATAGGTTCTTTATATTTTTCCTTTATTTCTACCTTGAATGACCATTAGGAGTGATAAATTAGGAAAAAAAAAATCCATGCATAACTATTGAGTATTAGTAGCTTTAGTATGAGTGATTGACAACCATAGAGAAACTGAAGTTGGGGTTTAAATTAAAGATGTATATAAAGAGGTAAAAAAGTGAAATCATATGCCCTAAGTTCATTTTGAATGGTTTTCTTGTCAAAAGTTGAGAAGTGTTTTTTTCTCTTTTAATCATTCTCTTTAGTTTAAATCGTTCATCAACTTCTCTTATTTTATTACGCATTGTCTTAGTTTAAGTAATCATATCATGGTATTCTCGATAATTGAAAAAATATCTTTATAACGATATTCTAAAAACTTAATTTGAAAACTATTTTTATTACTTTTCAATTGGTATGCTTCTCAACAAACACAAGTTTAATACCATGTCTACTTATTTATCTAGCTCAATGAATCGTAAGTCAACTAAATTGTTCAAATTATACTATCTTTCATAATTTTTTAAATATAAATGCTGGATAAATTATACATTAATCATATGAATATAATATGTTTGTGAGTTAACTTTTGATGGAGAAGTAAAAGAAAAACTAAGCATAGTTTTTAATCAACATTTTTAATTTTATATTCTTAAAGGTGATTTTTTTCTTAATAACTTTTTTCATTATATATATATATAATAAACACACATACATATATTACGAAAAAAATCACCTTTAAGAAGATCATCCATATTAAAACAAATAAAAATTCAATACATATGAAAATCATAAAAAATAAGGTGGCATAATTTTACAAAATAAAAATAACTATAATTTAATCATTTTACCAAAAAAATTAATTATATTTATAAGCTTTTACTTAAAATAATATAATATTTTTATTCTATTTATAGTTTATTTATTTGCTCTACCCATGAAAAAAGATTGAATAACAAGTTTGATAGAAGTAAAAATTTCTTTCATTTATTTGTGCAATAGTGAAAATTTTTTAAATTATACAAGGTAACAATATCTTTAACTACAGATGATTTTAGTTAGTTATACTTACAAAGTACAACTATAATTTTTATGTTGTAACGGGAGATAAAGAATGATTTTATGGTATAAAATCTCACAATTACTTAACTAGTAAAATCTAAATTCTCTCCCATTATAGCAAACAATAGATATGTCCAGTTTCATTTTCACTTAAACATAAATGAATTTATTTAAGTAAAAATATAAAAATTTAAAAAAATATATACAAAATTTGTTTAAACAAATTCTCTTTTTCCCACCCTTTTGCTTCCTAACCTCAAGTATATAGTTGTTATAATCTCAATTAAAATAAAAAAAGTAAATAATTTTAACAAACAGTTTAATGAGACATGAAGACGTGAGTTAACTTTTAAAACTCATTTAATAAACTTTTAGTTATACCCTTGAAGAAAACAAGGTGCTTCAACATCAATAATAATAATAATAATAATAATAATAATGACAAGTGGATAAAGTTTTATTGAAAAATTATTAAATAAATAACTAAACAATTTTATTAGAAAAGAGCCAAGATGCTTCAACAAATGTTTTATCAAATTTCATGTTGGCATCTCAATCTAATACACTTTGACCTTTAGATCATGCACTGTTGTGAAAGAACAAGTTTTTCAGAAAATTTAATATCTTAATATTTTAACACACATTTAAAAGAAGCGAACAGATTACACATTTCAATTCATATTATTTTTAGTTGAATACATGATAATATAAGAATTACTTTGGTTTATATTAACTATTGCTTTTTAATTTCTAAGAACAAATCACGTTATTTAAAAATGTAATATGTAAATTCTCAATGGTTAAATAACAAAACACACCATCAGTTCTAATTATAGGGAATGATTTCCCAAGTTACTCCTAACAAATCACGCCAAACGATATGCTAGTCACATGTGAATATTGAGGATAAGGGATAACGACAAATGGCATTTAAGTTATAGAATTCCACGTTTCAAAATTAACTAAAATTTGGACGTAGTTTATCAACGAGAAGTACTATTGTAAACTATATACTTTGCATATTATGAAGCTTGTGACCACTATATAATAGTATTAATGGAAAGAAGAATGTCACTCTTGCATACACTTTTGTGATTGATCAATTTTATAAAAATCAAAATAGTTTTTAAAAGATGAAATTACAAAATAAATACCTTAAGTTTTTATTAAAATATCCAATCACAAAAAGGGTTTTGAAAATTGTTCAAAAAGCATGATACTAACATTTATCTTGATGAAAATTTGGTAAGCTTGTGACCTTTTGGCTATATTACCGCACAGCGTCACGCCACAAGTCATTTTAACAAGGAAAATTGTAGATCCATACGGTGAATCCAATTTATGAAGCTTCAGATGCATAAAATGCGTAATGTTTTATCAAATAGCGTGGATAAAGGAAGAAAGCACAACTTTAAATATGAACGACTCAAACAAATTATAACTCAATTAGTCAACGCTAAAAGCTCTTGATCCAAACTATAACATAACACAATCATTCTGAATCTGCCAAGTCCATAGATTAAAGGATAAAAGCAAAATAATTTGACATGGCAACTGCACTCACTCGTCTTCTTGGCTGCGCAACCTAGCCAGTTTGTTGGTAACAACAACATCCAACTGCGCAGCACGTTCTACAATCTCCTTTCGTTTCCTGGTCGATACATTGTGTGCTATCTCAGCACAGTATGTCCTGATATTTCATCAAGTGAATCAAACAAAGTCAGCAACAAAACATACCATCAAAGGGAGAATAATGAAATTTACATGCAAATTAGAACCAGTTACCTGTTGTGCATCATGAGAAGTTCCAGATCCTTGACATTGTGGACAACAAACTTCTTGAAACCATTAGGTAGATAGTGACGGGTCTTCTTGTCAGAACCATAACCAATGTTTGGCATCAAAACACATCCTTTGAACTTTCTCCTTACACGTGAATCAATACCCTTAGGCCTTCGCCAGTTGGTCTGCATACAACAATGATGCCCAAAAGATTCAACTAACATTTAGAATGTAGCAGAAAAAATGAAAGTTATAACAAATGTAACAGGTATAGGAAGGAAAATCAAACAGATAACATTGCCCTGTTTCCCAGAAAGCAAATGGAAACTGATGCTATGTTACCACTCCTCGTGTTAAATATAAAGCACTAACAACAGGGAGAAGACATGTAACATTGCTGTCAGTAATAGCAGATTATAGTATAGAAATTGGCTGTGCTAAGCTTTCAGATACTACAATCTGACTAGATCAAGCCCATTTTATGTTTGATTATAAAATAGAAAGTAGGTTAGGTCAATGCAGGTTAAATGTAGAAACTTGTAAATAAATTACAGGGGAAATGAAACAAACCATAGTATGGAATCTGGATATGATGTTGTGTTAGTGGAAAAATAAACTAAATGAGGACAACAAATAGGAAACATCTCGAGCCTACACTGAAAAATTTCCAAGGTTCAACCCTCAAGTATTAAAAAATTTAAGAAAGAAAACAGCCAATAATTGGCAAATATAATACACGCACAAATTAGAACATGTCAAGGAAACTAATCTATAAGCAACTAATATTTTCCAGCATACCTTCACTGAAATTTTCCGGTCACTTTGAGGCCTCTTGAACTTCTTGACACGCTTCTTCACAATTTTCTTGCTTAGCAAAGGAACGGCCATCTTGTCTCTACAAAATTAAATTAAGCGTATTCAATTCCTCATATACTATGCAAAACAAAGAGAGACATTTAAAACTAACAAAATTTTACAAGGTCCTTAGCATGTAAAGATAAATGATCAAAGTAAGAAAATGAAAAACTGTAACTCTTAGCTACACAAGGGACACGATATCAAAAAAGCTAGAATAAAGCCAAAAATTAACGAGTAAACTAAATAAATTGCTAAAATCTGATTTCAATTTTGGCTAAACCACGCAAGCCTCTAACGCAGTTTTGGATACAAATCGAGCAAAAGAAAACCCACAACATCAAACAAGCTACATTTTCAAAAACTCATGTAGGATTGTACGCCAATAATTACTTTCATTGGAACCCATTTCAGTTTTTCTGTAAAACAAGGTAAGTTAAAACAAAAACATAATCTTCGGGTACATAATGTTACACGACAGTATCACATGAAGCAAAATTATAGTAGAACAGAATAATAATGACCTTGTTACAGACAGTAACACTTCTAGAGGGATAAGAGTGTTGCATACCTGCTAGCAACGGGGGTGCTCCTCTTAGTAAACTAGCAGAGATATAATCAACCCAACAGAGGCGCCAGCAGCTAGGGTTTTAAAGTGCAATATATATGAAAGAGTAATGATTCGATGTTATTCGATCCACTATGGCATACGGTGCATCCTTTCGTTATTTTTGGTCCATAGGTTTTTTGGTTATACCTTTGTGATGACCAAAGCAAAATGGACCGCGCCGTCTGGGTTGGCCCATGGACCACATTGGCTTCAATTCAAAACTGAAGGTAATTATTTTTTGTATTCCCTTTTTCTGCTAAATACCTTTTTATTTTTACTTTTCAAATATAAATTTTTACTAGGTATTATTTTGTTGGATATTAAACTTAAATTTTCTAGAAGCTGTTGGAAATTTTCTAAATTTATCTAAGTGAAAGCTTAGGGGCTAAGTCTTGGACAGTTAAAATTTGCAACTACTATTACTTGACATAGGAGAAAGTAAATAAAGAATATAATGTTATTATATTGTAACATGAGATTGAGTAAAAATAGAAAAATTAAGAAAGTTTTGACAAGCTTGAGTTGTTAATTTTTAGTGTACTAGGTTAAATAATTGTAAAAATATTAACTTCACAATTCAAAAATACATGTAATTAATAAATAAATTTGTGTGTTGCATGGATTTGTATAAATATATTTATATTTTTTATTAGTTAATTTAGTTTAAAAATAATTATAATTTAAATAATAATTATTTTTAATATAACAGAAAAATAAAAAATATAAATATAAATTTTAATTATTTTTTAAAATAAATTATATATAAAATAAATAAATATAACAGTTAAAGTTAAACTTAATTTATATGTGACTTTAAACATTTTAAATTTTAAAAATAAAAATAATTTAGTTATAAATTAGTAAATATATTTGTGTGTTATGCAAATTTATTTATATTTTTATTAAATTATTTTATTTTAAAATAAAAAAAAATAATTTAAATATAAAAATATATAATAATAAAATTTTATTATATTAAATAATATCAAATATAATTACATCAAAAAATATGATAAATATATTTTTCTATTTTATATATTTTTCATCTTTCTCAATAATAAAAATTGTTATTCTTTTAGTTGATGTAAATATAAAAAAAATATAAAAAAATAAATCAAAGAACATGAAAATGAAAATAAATAGTAAATTTTTTAATTATTTTTAAATATAGATAATGTAAATATATTATATTATTATTGTTATTAAATATTTTAAAATAAAAATAAAAATACATAAAAAAAAAGTATATACCAATAAATAAAAATATAACCAAAAAATATTTTTCAATAAACAATGAGGTTTAGTATTATACTCAAATAAAATCCATTTGAATGAAATCTAATTTTTATTTCTCAAGAATTGAAATGAATATTAACATAAATTTATTTGATAAATTATGTATAAAATTATTAATTTATGATTTTAAAATAATATATTTAAATTTGACTTATAATAAGTAAATGTATACTAATAATTAATTATTCTAATTTAAAATATTTTTTCAAGTTTTAAATTAGTATTAATTTTAAGAATATGATATCATAAATAATTATATCAATACAAAAATATATATTTATCTTACTTTATATTTTACATATAATTTTAAGTCCATTACATAATTGAATACTCTAAAAAAAGTTTTAAAAAATTCAAAATTTAATTTTAATCTAAAAAAAATTCAATAATTACAAAATTAGAATATAAAATGTTAATATTAAAAATTTTGAAAAAATTATTTTTATAATATTTTAAAAATTAATTTATGTCTTTATTTGGTTGTAGATTTTTTTCATAATTGTAAGAGAAATATTTAAAATATGAAAGAAATATTAAAAATATATCGTAAAATACTGACTTTTAGATGTGTTGTTTGATTCTGTTGCTACACATTCCTTTATTTCTGTAGATTGTATGATGTCTAAAATTACCTATATTTAAATTGTCTTATGATATTGTATCTACTCCTACGGGTAAGCCTGTAGCAACTTCTTCTGTGTTTAGGTTGTCCTGTGATAGTACATGGTAGGAGTTTTAGTGTAAATTTGATTTGTTTACCTCTTTCCCAACTTGATGTAATTTAGGAAATGAATTGGTTGTCATCCAACCATGTTCTATTGAACTGTAAAGAGAAAGTTTTGATTTTTGGCACTAACGTGTAAGAAAGTGCTAGACTCTTAAGTCCAGATCTGCTAGGAAATGTAATGAATACTAAGGCTTTTATGGTTCTATTTTCAATTGAGACTGAAGGAAATGAAGCCTGAGTATATCCCAGTGGTGAGGAATTTTTTAGAAGTTTTACCTGACGATATTATTGAATTACCACGAGAAAGAGAGATTGAGTTTACTATTAATTTCATTCTGGGAGCAAATCCTATTTTTGTTGCAACATATAGGATGTCACCAGTGGAGTTAACTAAGGTAAAGAAACAAGTAGAAGAGTTATTGAAGAAAAGGTTCGTAAGGTCAATTGTGTCATCAAATCAAAGTTAAGAATGAGGATATCTCCAAAACAGCTTTTAGAACTCACTATGGCCACTATGAGTATCTAGTTATGCCATTTGGTGTGACTAATTCTCTTGCAATATTCATGGATTACATGAATAGAATTTTTCATGAGTTTTTGGATAAATTTGTTGTAGTATTTATATATGATATTCTAATTTATTCCAAGATTCATGAAGAATGTAACACCTTAAATTTAATTTCAAAATAATAAATTTCACAAAAATAGGAATGATAAAAACTTTTCATTCAAACAATTTCCCGATGTTTAGTTCAGCAAAATATCCTGAAATATAAGGATGAGTTACAATTTAAGTCAAATAATTGTTACAGGACTTAATTAATACATCTCAGTTTCGAAATGAAATAAAAATTATAAATCCTATAGCAGTGTCATCCATCCCTTTATTGAGCCCAGTGCTGATCGTCTTGGTCATTTGAAATATAAATGTAAGGGTGAGTACTCCACACTACTCAACACACACAAACAAACATAAAGTCTCACCTCACACATTTCACATTTTCTAAAACAATTCAAGTCAAGTAGTCGCAGCCACGATTACCATTCCATTTCAACTTACACACCAATGCACTCACTGCACCATCACACAATCATTAGACAACAACCACGTGAGCTCACTGCACGCTAGCCACGCTCACTGTGGCACTATGATCACAGTTTTACACCATGGATGGTCGCCGATTACCCCCGTCTCACGGATACCACGTGGGCAGTCACGAGTTGCTCGACAAAGTTAGTGGTCAGAGGTCTAGTTAGAAGGAGAGTGTGTGGCATGTGGTACACCCACACTCACTGTTGGTGTCACCACCACTCTCTCTTCTCCAAGATATTTCTATTGTCCCCATCTTCCACACCTCCAATGTATCGCTAAACCATTCATAGCATAATCACAACGGCATTTAACATGCCTCATTCACACACATTTCAGCCACATACAATACTCATTCACAGCACACGGCACAATGCCTATAGTCATTCACATTACACAGCACATAGGCCCATATTCGTTTACAACACACGGCACAAGTGCCCATATTCCATCACACAACATTTTCAACATAATCCACATTTATCAATCTATTTCATCATACACCCTATACTCTATTCAATCTTTCCATCACAATCTTACTACAATCAATCAATTCTATCAAACACAAACACATTCCAAATCATCCACACGACATTGTATAGCAAACTACATAGCATTCAAACATAATGAGATAGGGTAAAGTCCTCTCTTACCTACCTCAAATTGAAGACCACGCACAAACTCAACCAAGGAGACGCTCACCACACGAATTTTGTCCTAAATACATGGAAAAAACCTATGAGAACTAAGGAAAATCGAGAAAACAGCGAACGGGGATGAGAAACCATAAACCCTAGCCATGGAAACTCACCTCAAAAGCTCTAAACATGTTTCTAATCTTCAATCTTGTACCCAAAAGGCTTTGGAGACAGTTTAATTGGTAAAAATGGCTTGGAGATCGGGGGAAATACGAGAGAGTTCGAATGGAGAAGTGGGAAATGATTTTCCTCAAACCCTAACCCCTTAAATATCCTATAGTCGCGACACTCTCGCTACAACAATATTCTTGTTACAACGACACTCTCTCGTTACAGCGAAAATCTCAGAAGAAACTGCACTCGGGTTTCTCCAGAATCCTGCTACATTGAGACCCTCTCGCTATAGCGAGGCTGCACCCTAAACTGTCGTGACAACGAAAAGGCGATAGTTTCATGTTTTCCTCCCAAGGCCTTCTCGCTATAGCAAGACATTTCTCGCTGCAGTGAGAACACTCTGCACCAGGTATTTAGCCAATTTTATCAACAAATAAGCCACAGTCCAACATTCTCAGTATACACACATATACACATATATCTATATATACTCTTATAATCACATATTTATCCATACGCATTCATACACATCATCATATACGTAAATCAAACATACAACTACATGAAAAATACATATATACACTTATATTAACATATTAAAATATTATTACAAAAATTTGGAGCGTTACAAAGAACATGTAGAACACTTGAGAATTGTTTTATAGATATTAACAGAAAGACAGTTGTATGCAAAATTTTCTAAGTGTGAATTCTAGCTACCACAAATCCAATTTCTAGGGCATGTGGTATCGAAAGATGGTATTATGGTGGATCCAGTAAAGGTGGAGGCAATGGCTCAATGGCCAAGGCCTACTAATCCAACAGAAATTCGCAGTTTTCTAGGACTAGCTAGCTATTATAAGAAATTCATTGAAGGATTTTTTAAAATAGTTTTTCCTTTGACGAAATTAACAAGAAAGTGAAAGAAGTTTGTATGGAGTGAAGAGTGTGAAGATAGTTTCTAAAAGCTGAAAGAAAAGTTAACATATGCACCTATCTTAGTTTTGCCTAACTCAGAACATAAGTTTGATGTGTATTGTGATGCGTTTGGGCAAGAGCTTAGTTGTGTCTGGATGCAGGATGAAAGGGTAGTTGCTTA